TCCTGACATTTGAGTTCACTATTCTCTACTAGTATGACTGGACCAGTAGGCCTACATCAGTATCAATAAGGACCACTGAGAGCTGTTCTCTCAGAATAATGACCACCCACCCACCCATGTGTTGACAAATGTAATTATGTGCTATTGAAGGTACTTTATTTATAGTGATATTTTTTAAGTTCCTCAAACTACTAAGTATATAAAATCAACATAATACATCGGGGACATTTCCCACTCCCCAACGTCGGTCTCCGGCAAGTGAGCCGTTTGAACAGCGCCGATATAACAGCTAAGTGTTACTGCGCCCGTGACTTAACCGGTCAGCCAACCAACTCGCCTTTTATATTTTTTGTTAAAATTCTTATTTGCTTATTTGTGCCAAAAGAATGACCATATAGATTCTAAACCTGTTTGTACTAGTAGGCCTTTTACTATAATAGTCAAAAATACTGAAATTAAACCATATTTTTCCCCAAATATTCAAGCTTTTGCCCCCAAAAAATTAATTTCTGTTTGGCTCCAGAGATGTTTCAAAATGGTATGCTAATAATAATAATAATATGTGTACCAAATTTGACACTTTGTCATCCAGGTAATCCAATCATTAATCTATGCACAGGGTTAAAATCTAGATTGTTACAAAAGCGAATTTTTCGTCTAAAAATGAATGGGGATATGTATCTATGGCGTTGTCTAAGAAACGCAACTGTTCAGAAAATAGCTGCTTCGATAAAGCAGGGAACAGTAGTTCACTGTTCCCTGAATAAAGAAATCATTTTATAACACATGACTCCAAAATCTTTAAACTACAGAATCTGCTAGTCGGCATAAGGGTATTCAATTAACCACTAATATAATTAAGCAAAGACTACTGTATTGATAGGCTAACTGTCCCGGACGTTTCATTAAATAATGAGAAAGGTATTGCAGAGGCAATAAATGACTCATTTGCCACGGTCTCCCGAAGCAGACCTGCAGCTTAAACTTCAACAAATTACCGGTTTACCTCCTTGTAATCCCCCTCCTCAGGTTTTCGAATGGGAAATGTTCAATGAACTAAAGGAAATTTAAAATAATATGTAAAGCATGTGGGCCAGATAATCTACCCACTGTTTTACTTAGGCCCTAATTTGCATGTGAATTTAGTGTAACCATTACAAACATATTCAACACCTCATTGGGGGAGTCTACTGTTTGGAAGGATGCTAATATTTCTCCTGTACCTAAGGAGACCCCAACACATATCTCTAAGCTACATCCCATAGCCTTTAACCTCACAATTAGCAACAGTTTGCGAAGGATTTGTATATAGATAGGTACTAGTGATTGTTATAAATGTTATTGATCGTAACCAATATGGATGTATCAAATGTTCATCCACTTTCCACTGTTTGATTGAAATGTTAGATTAGCTGTATAAGGGTACAGATAAACCTGACACTGTAGGGACTCTGATTGTGACCGACTTTTCTAAGGCTTTCGATGGTATTGATCATACAATTGCAATTACCAAGTTATTTAACCTTGGGGTAAGGAACGAAATAGTGTCATATTTTGCCGACTTTATTTACTAAATGAATCTTAGGTATACTAAAAAATACATCAACATGAAGTCTGCAACATGTCGTTATAGATAGTCTGGCAGGCAATAGTGCAATACAATTTTAACTCGAAAATTATCCTCTGTGTGTAGAGCCCCAAATTTGAAATACGTCTAGCAACTGCATTAAATCGCAACTTAGAGAACACTTTTAAAAATGCTTTTAGTATTGTATTACATCGCAACTTTAACCTTTTATTGTCTAGCAATTGCATTAAATCGCAACTTAGAAGGCATTTTAAAAAATTATTTTAGTATTGTATTACATCGCAACTTTAACCACTTATTGTAGGCATTTGCTTGATTTGAACATAATACTTATTCTTTTTTTAATTCCTGCATTTAGTCCTAAAGTGTTAGATAGTTTTAAATAATGTGTTTAAATATTGCGGCATAGATTGTTATCTCTTTCAATTAGCAATTTTGCTGCTACTAGAGAAGTTTAATAAAATAAATTTGAATTTGAATTTGAATCTGCTTCCAGCACTTTAACGCTGTTCATACCCAAATGCCGTCTGAACACTTTTGGGAAAAGGTCTTTCCGTGTCGCCGCCCATAAACTGTGGAATGATCTACCAGTTTATATTCGTGTCTCTGTTGTTGGCCACTTTCAAGAAGCAAGCTTAAAACTCCCTTTTTGCATCTTTGTGATTTGTTTTCTTCAATGAACGATACAGTGGTGTTGGTTCGCTGCACTAGACTGTTTTTTTGTTTGTGGTTTTCTTTTCTTGTTTTAAGATAGTCTGGACTGCTTTTTAGTGTTCTGACGTATTTTAATGCCTTTTTTACACATTCGAATTCTATTTTTTTTACACTTTCGAATTCCTTCATAATTATCACTGAAACATTACAATAAATACCAAACAAAACAAGAAAATTAAAATCAATAAATATTTATGGACATTTAATTTACCAAAACGAAGACTGGCGATAATCGTGCCCCAATCACTCGGCAGATTTTGGTTTGGGAAAGGGCAGACTTTATTTGTTTGTGAAAAAAATATTTGAATTTGCTGGAGGCCGCGAGGCCTCTGGCTCATCATACCCGTTACGCCACTGATCACGTCGTTTATATTCTTTAACACATATTGCAATGTCGCTGTCGTTATCGTGTCTAGTGTAAATGTAGCTTTAGACGCTGTACCAGTAAGGGGAAGTGTGCTTCATCAGGGATTCTGCCTGGACCCCACACCTGGGCGCTTTTGCCGGCTGCTACCGAATTTCGCGTCTCGGCGTAACCTTTTTATTTCTCCACCTTATCCATCGCAGTTCTTAAACAAATCTGTATCTCATTAACCGTTCCCGATTATTAAATCTTAAAATAAACAGTGGCGAAACATGGAATTTAAAATCGAAATCACCTGAGCCCCACCATGGTTGAGACTGAGGTACAAATTTTTTTTTATGTCTGTGGCAATACTTCTCCCGCCGCTTGTCGGCTGAAATGGCACTGTCAGACTCGAAATTTTAAGGTAGGCCCCTAATTTAATATCCCCTTAATTTTTATTTGTAAAATTTAGGGTGACTCATGGTTGATATTCCACCAAAAGATTATGGATAGAAGATGATTCGCCAAATTAAGACATCCTAGCTTGGAATTCGATAGACAGGAGGGGAGAGGGCGCAGACAGTAAATTTTACATAGGGGATTTACTCTACCGGTACGAAATGTTTATGGCACCTTTAGATCAGTGGAGTAGAAGTCTTGAATTGGGGTGGGGAGGGGGGCTGATGCGCGAAGGTGAAATGGGTGGGGGCGAGCTTGATGATCAGTTAAGGGGCGCTAATTTGCAAAATATGGTGATTTTAGGTGATTTTTAACTACTTGACCGTGTTTTTTTTGGGTGGAGGCGACTGGGGGACGCGCCCCACGCCTTCCCCTATACGCCACTCCTTTAGGCCTAGATGGCCGGAAATGACACTGTCAGAATGTAATATTCTGTTATCCCCCATTTACTTTTGATTTTGTCAAATTTAGGGCTCCCTTCTGATTTTTTATCCAGTTAAAATCAATCGGGTAGGCCTACATGGAACAAGATACATTACTGTCTATCAAGTGGCTCTCGTATACTAAACATCTTTACATTAAGTATATATAAAAAAAAACTAATTTAAAACATTCTATCAGATCACCAATAAAATATTGGAATTAAAATATAATGCCAGTTGAGTGAACAAAGTCATCTTGTCAAGGGTATTTTTTTTTTAAATTATTATTGTCAAGGCATGATCACACCTTGTAGTCCGGCAGCTTAGCAGATGGATGTGGACGTTCCGGACAAAAGCACCAATTTTTTTTACATGCTCCTTATGGTCATAGCATTCAATTTTTGGTAGGAACCACCTCATCCGAGGTCATTATGGCGGCCATCTTGGATTTCAAAATGGCCGCCTAATAAAACCTATGTTTATCTATATCTCCGCTTCTAAACCACTTGGAATTATAATTCTAACGTCTGAAACTATTTTTATATGGTCAAGGAATACAATCATACCATTTTTGACCTGGTCAGATTGCCACAAATAGGTCATTTAAGGTAATTCAAGGTCAGATATTGTATGGTATCTTAAAAATTACATAATTGTCATATTTTACATTAGAACCATACCCAGACTCTCAGAATTCAAAATCTTTTCAATGAACTACAATATTTCATTCGAGGTCATTCTGACGGCCATATTTAATTTCAAAATTGCTGCCACGCAAATCTTATATTTATCAATATATGGGTTTTAAACCATTTTAATGAGAATTAGGCCTATGATATAATAATAATGTTATATTTATATATCTAAAATATATTTCATGGTCAAGGATTTATAACACCTGTGACATGGTCAAATGGTCATTAATGTCATAAAAGGTCATTTAAGGTCATTCAGTGTATATACCATACCATTACCATTTTTTACCTGGTCAGATTGCCATTGACTTTTCATTTCTGGGAACTGCAAGAAGAAAAAGAACATTGTTTTTCGATATCGAACACACTGTACTAGCTGTCTCTTATACACATCTAGATGAATATGGCCCTAAGCTGCCGTACTATTGGAGGAATTAGTTTAAAAAATCCTCCATGATCACACTGTGGTTGTAAGATAAAAAAATCCCAATGGAATCATGAAAAAGTTGTTTTAATAACCTAGTGGACCCCACATTTTTTCGAGGAAACCCTGCGGACCTCTTCGACTTGGCGGGCCCCACATTATTTTTCGCGGACCACAAAGGGGTCAGAGCCTCAGAGGACCTCAGGTTGGGATTGGCTTAAGGCAATCTTTACCGGCACGTACGCGTCGCGACCTTTTTTTTTTTGTGAATTACGCCCTCTACATAATTTCTAAAAATAGCTTAGGGAATTTTCATGTTTTTACTATTACAGTAGTCCTAGGCTAAATTTTGGGAAAAACGAGGAGGCTTGTTTTTTGGGGGAGTTTTTGTTGAACAGTACCAAAGATAATAAATAGCTATTTAAGTTCTTTGACAGTACTACTACTGTACTAGGCTAGTAGGCCTAGGCTCTAGGTAGAGGAGGAATGCTCGAAAATAATATGAGGATTTAGTTTTTTTTATCATTTTTTTTATACTATAGGTGAGTATAATCAAATCATTATAGTGATGACCCAGCGTCAAACACAAATATTCATTTTATGGTTAAGTGCTTTAAAATTTGACCCGAAGACGAAGTATCATAATTTCTTCTAGACTAGGCCTAGGTAGGCTAGGCCTAGGTAGGCCTATGCTAGGCCTCTCACTAGTAGGGCGGGCCTAGCCGAGTGTAGGGGCCTCCAGCCCAGCTAGACCTACATGTAGGGCCTAGGCTAGGCCTCCATTTTTAGTATACTACTACAGCCCCGACGAGCCCTGTCCGGCGGGGTTTTAAGCCCCCCTGCCACCCCACTGGCACCGCCACTGATCTCGCCCCCTTACAAACTTGCCGCCAACAAATTTTCCCCCTACAAACTCGCCCCTTACAATCTCGCCCCTTACAATCTTGCCCCTTTAACAAACTTGAACCCCTTACTGTCACACAGTTACCCCCTAACAAACTCGCCCCAAACTAAGGTGTCCCCTAAAAACTTGCCCCCTAACAAACTCGTTCCTCTGACTATATATACACAGTTGCGACAACAAATTTTTCCCCTTATTAACAAACAGCCCCTTAACAAACTTGCCCATAACCTTTCTGTAGGTCGTCAGATCAAAAATATAAAAAAATGATAATAATTTTGCTATCCATGTACATAACGTTATTTTGACTGCCAATCCTGTTGGGTCTAAAAGCACATTTTGGACCACACTAAGCAATAACAACTCTACCAGTGAACCTACAAGGTGTAGTTTTTATCGTTTGTTGCAATATATTTTGATTGCATGTTATTAATGCTTACAGTAAATCAATTTAAGCATTTATGAAACTATAGTCACTAGACAGTTTTTCATATGTCTGTTTTCTTGTTTGTTATGCACTTGTCAATTAGTCCCGGCCCCCCACGGACCTGGGCCATAGCAGAGATCTAGCCGTGACTGAGCCTGGAACGTACACATAGTTGTGTCCTCATAGTGCAGGGACGTACCTAAAATTTATCCATAGATGTAATTGGCCTCGAAAGGGCCGGGAATTTTACACGTTAGAGTAGCCGGGGTTTTTGGTGTAGTGCTGTCAAACAGCACCGGGTCTGGTCCTACCTAGCTTACACTAAGCATTCAGCAATTGTTGTGTGTTTTGATAATTAAAAAATTGCCTACCGGTACCCTAGACTTACCATCATGGTTTCATTTTTTTTATAGATCAAGGTATAAATTACATAATAAAATTTGAACCTCCAACCACGCAACGATGAGGACCGTCGATGTGATTTGAGTGTGTTGCGTGAATTTGACCTAGCTTGAGTAAAAAAATACACCAGTGAGCCAAGCAAGGAAATCTGTTTCTACTATTAATTTTCTTATTTAATTTCTGTTTTGATACTGAATAATATCAGTTAAATCAATCCATTTTCTTTTTATATGATCAATCTATACATTCCTTTTTTTCAAATTTCAAAATGCATGCATGCGTAGAGCTTCCATCAAGCAAGCTCATCTGCTTGGCCTATCTCCTGCCTAGCTTTCACGTGATTCTCCGATTCAGACCTAGGCTAGACTTTCAAGTAGGTCTTATCACCCAATCATTTTATTATCGGGGCGTTTAACCGGGACTATGGCAGTAAGTAGCCATGATGTAACGGTTTTGGAAGTTATATCCCGCTAGGCCCGGGGCTACAATTGACAGAAACGTTCCCTCAAAGATTCTCACGGTACTGTCTTGTGGTGAAGCAGACAAGAGGTTTGTATTTTCTTGTTTCTTTTATTTCCATTTTTGATACTGTACATATTCTGTTTTTAATATAATTTATAAATACATACATATTTATGGCTTTTTCACAGTTTTAGACTAATTTTTAAAGATGGAAAAAACACAATTTTCAAGGTCTACTCCCTGTACAGTAGTTCCTGGTAACTAATTTTAAATAATCGGGAAGGAACTCCCACAACCAACTTGGTTCCCACTGTAGTAGTGAGGAGACGCATTCTTTGTATGCTGCCTTCAGGAATGTTGGCGTATTACTGGTCAGACTAACAACCAGCTATTTTTAGATGCAAAACGCACGATGGCAGTGAAGGTGTCGCATGTGTTTACCTACTTCATACATGTCTCCAACTTTGGATCGTCAGCTATCTGCTGATCATCATATTTATTGTACTTGTCGTATAATTGTATAAGTATTTGTAACGATTTGTATTATACTGTAGATGGTTTTTTTATGTCTTTTTTCACCCGAGTGATGCATCACCATGTAATTCAAAACACATCTCAAATGGAACGAAAGTTTATTTTGGCAATAAAGAGTATTGCATCGATCGTATCATTACACACTTAATACTGTATTAACGGAAATATAGTAATAGAGTTTTAATAATATGTATAAAAAAAGCTAGTTATAAAAAGAATTGAAAAGAAACGTTATTTTTAGGCGCAAACACATGAGATGGCGGTGAAGGTGCAGTGTGTGCAACAGTAACTTTATTGTATACAGTAGTACATTTTAAAATTCAGATATAAAAGTGTACAGTATTTGATTTAAGAAATTAAATCAATACCGTAATGAGTAATAGACCTATATTTAGGAATAATTCAGAAGTTAATAAATATAACTGTGTACTGTAAACTTGACTTTTCATTTCTGGGAACTGCAAGAAGAAAAAGAACATTGTTTTTCGATATCGAACACACTGTACTAGTGAAAAACATGCTAATAGTATATTCCAAATTACTGTAATTGTAATTAATAATTCTGAAACAATAACGATCGTAAAAAAACAAAATAATAATCATACTAAAAAATACAAAAATATATTATGTATAGTAAAGCACTGTAAAAAAGACAAGTTAATAAAATTAATACTAAGTACTGTACCAGTTATAACTAAAAGTAGGCCTATAATTTACGGTACATTTCACCAAACTATGGTACCTACCTACCTAACGGAAAGGTTATGGGCGATTTTGTTAAGGAGAGAGTTTGTTAGGGGGCGAATTTGTTAGGGGCGACTGTTTATAGTCGGAGGGGCGAGTTTGCTAGGGAGCGAGTTTGTTAGGGGGTGAGATTGTAAGGGGCGAGTGTGTAAGGGGTGAGATTGCAATGGGCAAGTTTGTTAGGGGGTGAGTTGATTGTCATCCGAATTACCATACAGACAGCACCCTTACTGTAAAGTTTTTTAATTGCACAGAGAATATTTGAAAAGTAAGCTCAAATTTGCTCGGGAAATCGGAAAATAAGTGTACGGAATCGTAATTGCTGCATAATTGCATTGGATATATATTAAGATCTTTTCAAAGCCTAATTTTTCGGCAGAATCTGTGCGGAAAAAGACCCTTATTGTTCGAAATGCGTGCGCCAAATTTTGACAGTCTGGGACAGCACAGAACAACAAGGTGCACCCTCTCCTGACTGTATAATCACACCCTCTCCTTGCCATATAGAGTAGACCCTTTCAATGTTTACATTGGCATATCTGAAACCCTGGCGGTGCCCTAACCTGAGGCAAAAGATATTCTCGTGGGATAGGAGAAATGCATGGGAAATCAGTACCCATTATCTTTATTTTTGTTGTGCCAAAAATACGAAAGCAAATAGATGAGATTCACATACAGTATGTCATAGGAATGGACAAAAAAAAAAAAAAAAAATTTACGAAATTATATTATTTCTATTTTTATTCAATTTTAAAAGTCATTTTCATCTTATCTCTTTGGATGTTGGCAAGTGCGCCAAGAACGTGAAAGCTTGTACAAGACACTACCGCATTTGCCTACTCCGGCATCATGAAAAAACAATTTTTCCCCTCTCTTAAAACCTCATTTGACGGGAAAAACTGCCTCAGCCCAATATTGTGCTTCTCTCACCTGACTTTTTTTATGCCACAAGTTTTGATTGGTAAAAATGGTAACCACATGGCTAAAATCGATTGGTAAAGTTAATTGATTTGAAAATATAGTTTTTATTTGAAAATATAGTTTTTGGCAATAAAGACAAGCTGTCCCGTTAAAGACAATTCTAATTCGAAAAGGGCGCCCTTTATTAGCCCACCATTGCTAGGGATCTTCTTTGGGTAGCCCGTGTGCATGTCTATGCACATTGGTGTGAAGTATTAAGAGTATTATGATAAAAACAAAATATAATCATTGTACAATAATTCTGATATTTTACATTTTGTAGCAGATGATGTGCAGGAATCCCTAATGAATCCGCAGCTATGGTGTCTGCAGAGGGAGATTAATCACTGTGAATGGATCGTTCTAGACATTTGTTAGTCAGGTCGGTCTTGGGCTTCTGCAATACAAAGCTTTTTTGCCCTTACTTTTGAAATGTTTTTTTTTTAAATTATTATTTATAGATTTCCAGTTGATAACTCTGCAGAAATGTCTGAAGAAAGTCTCACTAAGGGTATCTGTACTTTGGCTGGTAAAATCAAGCCAGGAGAAGAGACAAGTCAGCTAAGATTAATTCTTTTTGACTATATAAGCAATGTAAAGGAAAGACAAAATGCCCTTGATTTATTTGATGTGCTTAAAGAAAGCCAGGAAATAACTACACAAAAGGTTCATATAGTGTATGAAATATTAATGTTGATGGGCAAGAAGAAATTATGGACAGAGTTCTGCAAAGATACGTTGATTAATATCAAAATTCTTTATGATGTCAAGAAAAATTCAATTTGCTTCACAAAGTTTCGATTGATGATGATTGAAATTGGAAATAAGTTGACAGGTAAAATGGTTACATATCTGAAGAAGGTATACGGTGTTGATGAAGAATTTTCTTCTGAGTGGATGCTGTTACTTCATCTTGAGCAGCATTTGCATGTTGAACAAGATGTCCAAGGTTCCTTAGAAGCATTTGGCAAAAACCTAAGGACAGCTATATGTACAAGAGGAGCTAAACTTGTTGAAGAGTATGGTAAGATTTTGAAAATATTTGGTCTGTTTAAATGTTTTTCTTTGATTAAGAGTTATCCCCAGTTAGAACATAACTCCATATTATTATCATGGTCATACAGTAGGATCAAACAACTATGAAACATATTGCTTAGCTCAATGAGGACAAATCAGTGGCGACACCAGCAGGTGGGGGCAGGGGGCTTAAGCCCCCCCCCCATCGGTCTGGTCAACCCCCTCCCACCATCAGCCAAAGCTCGTCGGGCAGTCGGACCAAAAAAAAAATCTTGTTTTTGGAGGAGGAGACACCCCTTCCCATACCCACCCCTGGCTCTGTCTCTTATACACATCTAGATGTGTATAAGAGACAGGTCTGGGACAGCACAGAACACAGATGTGTATAAGAGACAGTCTTAGCCCCCCCCCCCTTCGCCATAAATTATATCCTAGAGCTGCCACTGGGAGAATACCATAATGTTGCAGGTAACATAATAATTTGTTAAACCCACTGATGCTCCTGGAGAGAGAAAAACAACATGGAAAGTGCCTTGCAAGTTAAATTTAATGCTTTGATGATTGATTGCAATATTTTATTAATACAGTACAACCCATATTAAGGGGAAACCTTGAGGACCAAAAAAAGTTCCCCCTTAATAGGTGTCCACTGTACATAACACTAGATACGATTACGACACAACAATGACATATCATCGCGTAATTTGTATTCTTCAACACTGCGCGCATCTACATCTTGTAATCGTGTCTAATGTAAATGTGGCTTAATAATGGTTTTTAGCATGTTTTCATATAACGATGACATAATTCTATAATTTTATTTTTATTGACATACAGTAATTAGATATCCCAGTAGAATTAGAAATAACTTGTAGCAATAATTTGCAATGCAAATATAATTAATTTATAATATGAAATCAGCAGTAATGTACTTAAAACAACAATAGTAATATGTTCGAAATTTATTGTTTCATGATGCAATAGAAACAAAATAATTGTGCCCTTAATAGGGGTTATTTTACTATTTTGCACTCAGAAAGTGTCTCTGTCCCCTAAAACAGGGGTGTCCCCTTATAGGGTTGGCCGCAGTGTTAAAAGATATCTCCCTCCCCCCCCCCCC